TAAAAAAAGATTTAATAAGCAAAAGTTTAGTTGATTTTAATGTGTTAAAATATTTAAAAATTAATTAAATAATTATTTTTTCCAAGGTAAAATATATGTTTAAAGGATAAAAAATTTGATCAACATTTGGCATTGAAGTTTCATTCACAAAATTTTAATCGAACTTTTTACTCTTTAAAAATAAATTTTATACTGGATAAAATTGTATCAATATAGTAACATATAAGGTATTATAATTATATTAATTAATTTTAAAATTTCAAATGTTAGGACTTCCTACATTGTTCAAATAACGAAAGATTTTAAGGAAATATGTAAGAAGATTTACTTGAAACTAACTTAAAATTTCTTATAAATTACAGTATAAATTTATTGCTATTAATTTCAATTTATAAATTAGAGTATCATATATACGCTTTACTTATCCAATATTGAAATTGGGCTTTTGATTTGATAGAAGTATATATTGCAACATGTAAAAACACATAAAGTATATTGTAATATTTGTTATTACTATAAATTATTACTCTATTATTTTCAAATGTAGGATGTTATTTGTAAACTTACTTAAAAATAATTTCTTACTAATGTGTCTTTAAGTTTGGTTTAGATTGTACGGTCAACTTCAATATTTAAAGACTTAGAAGAGATCTATTTTTAGCCGTAAATATATGATGTACGTGTAAGAAAGAAGCTATATTAATTTATACAAGTAAAATAAGAATTTTTTCTTTATGTAACCTAAATGTTAGGAGTTTATTCTAAGTTAAAATAAGGAAACTTTAATAATAAATTTTTTTTAGTTAAAGTCCTAAATAATAGGAAATTAACTTAAATTACAGTATTGTCCAATATAAAATCTATTCTTGAAGGGTAAAAAAGGCAAACGACATTTCGCTAAGGGTCTTCGTGCTTTTAATATATACTAGTTTTTCGCCACGTGCGTTGCACGTGTATACCTACTGAGTGATGGAGTATTACTTGTGATGTAATGCACGTGTATGTATTGTGAATGATCAATGTAGATCGTCGTATTATAACTTGTTCATCGAATTAAAAGTGATTGGATAACATTTGAACCTACTACGATAAATAATTAAAATTTAATTAGATACATGCGGGTTTTTTTTTGCTTTGATTTTGTTTGATACAACCATATAATGAAGCATATCTCACCTTATATTTCCTTAAAAGACCTAAAAATGCTACTCAACTTTCAGAAAAAAGCCTATCCATGACATCCGTTAAAAAAATGCTCATTTCATGCCACTGCCGTTACACATATGGCTCACCTATGCCATTATTGACTAACAACTCAATTTTTATTTGGCCCATCCATGCCACTGTCGTTAGTCAATAATGGCATGGATGAGCCAAATGTGTAACGACAGTGGCATGAAATGAGCATTTTTTTAACGGATGGCATGGATAGACCATTTCTGAAAGTTGAGTAGCATTTTTAGGTCTTTTCCGTAAATTCGATTTTCGATTGCTCTGTAAAGATGATTTGGTTGAAATTAAACCTACTAAAATAAACAAGTAAAGTTTAATAGATACATGCAATTCTTTTACTTATTCGATTTTATTTTGTACAAATATGTAATACAACATATAATATAGATAAAACAACATTAATTAAAAATTAATAACTCTTTTTATTATGAAAAAGGAAAAGATTTTTTTCAATGCATCTCACCTCCCTTCTTAATCAACATTCTCTATGTTACAGTTGCCATAAGTTGTACTATTATTTATAACGTCCGTCTTTTTTCAAAAAGAATACCATAACTCATTTTTATCTATTACGTCTTTAATCTTCTCATGAACTAATAATATGAATCCTATCATAAAAACTAATAAATTCATTAGATTATATTACACACATATAAGATCGGCTATCTTCACTTCTTTGACTCTTTTTATTACAGTCAAACCTTTCTATAATATCCTTGTTTGTTTCGATATTTTTTGGTTGTTATAGTGAAGTGTTGTTATAGAGGATATATATAAAATAAAAATAAAAACTGGTTTCGAGAAAACCTTGGTTTTTATAATGAATGACTATTATATAGAAATATTGTTATAGAAAGATCTGACTGTACCTATTTGGTATTAACGGTCCTTTATGTGTTGTCTTCATGGAAATATGCATTGTTTATGTTAAAATGTATTATTCATTTTTTGGGAAAAAAGTAAAAAAGAAAAATATTGACTTATATATATATATATATATATATATATATCATTATTAATTTGCAATTAGAAAAAATGCAGTTACTTTAGGAAACAATAAGATTCACCCCCTGTAGCAATTAAGCCACAAAAGAAAGTATTATAGAATATACACTAACTCTGATTTTATAATTAAGGGCAAGAAAATTTAAAAGTCGCATAAGCTTCGCAAGACATGACTTCGAATGTAATAGTAGTATTATCCCAGCTCACAAGTAAAATTTTGCTATAAACAAATAATATAAACATTATCAATTTCGGAGATTTATTGCCTTTTGAATTATTAATGACAAGAATAGTCAGAATCCCTAGTTAGAGAAGAAATAAATAATTTAGCGTAATTTTAGTCCATTAAATATGATATATAAGCACATATATATAAAAAAAATTATAGATTGAGACTAACATCCCCAAAGCCATAGTTTATCATATTTTATTTTCTTAATAATTTAACCGTTATTTCCAACAAAATCACCACATGAAGTAGCAGTTATATGATTACACACACATATATATATATATATATTAAATTATAAATTGCATAAATTATATTAACTTATCTATATAGTACATCAAATGAATATTTTTCATGAACACCTTTAATTTAACTTACCATAATCAAATCTCCCTCCAAACGAAGAAACAAAATGCTGACATTCTCCCAAAAAAAAAACCGATAGTGAGCATTCACTCAACAGAAGTCGTAGCTCTCTATAAATCAAGTCAGAAGTAAGTAATGGAGGGAAAAATAAGGCCAAAAAACAAAAAAAAACGACATTATTCACCAGCATAGTATTCATTTTTCATTTTTCAGGAAAAAGAAAGTTGACAAGTATATATATATATATATNATAAATCATAAGATAATAAGTAAAAAAATAAAAAAACCTTAGCAATTCATATGTGCTCGTGCAATTTCCTATTTCTCGTCCAAGCCAAGTGGCTGGTTCATCTCCTATAGCCCGGCACCGTCATACAAAGGCTAAAATAACTATCTATAATATGGATCGCAATGTTGCCAAATGAATCTTTTCTTTTAATAACTGGAGACGTGCTCTATGACTCTGCCAACAAAATAACACCCATCTTTACCTTTCTGTTATGTCACGCCACATTTTGGGGTGGCCTTTGTTATTGGAATCACTTCAATACATTTTTTCCTCAAAGTGGTCTTGGTATAAAATTAAATGTAATATCAAACGGATAGTCAAAATATATATGGTGGCAAACAGAAGTTTGTTTGTAGGTTATTTCCACTAATAGGCGTGACTGTTCATATAGCATGAACCGTTGGCTTTTTTCTTCAATTTTTGCAAGTAAGATATTTAATTTATTAGAAGGGCATTTATGTAATTAGACTTTAGATTATGGGCTTCCCACTTTTATAATATTATGTATATATATACATATATATATATATGATTCCAAAAATCTAGGCGAAAAGGGACATTTCAATGGTTATGGTTGAAATTCATTGAAAACATATAGATGATTCAATACACCGATGTATTTATTGCGTGAACGAATACAATCTATACATGTTATATCTCTTGTATACACGGATGTATACAGTCGATATATGATGTATTCTTTGTATACGCCCCATATTTCGCCTTGATTGTGTTCATCGCGCAAACGAATACAATTGGTACAGGTCGTATTTGTTGTGCGTGCGAATACAGTTGACACATGCTATTCGTTGCGCGTCTGAATACAAGTGATACAAGTTGGTAACAATTGAACAGTACTGTAGCTACTAATGGTAATTAGGCAAACTGTAGTTACTATGCTCTAAATTGTAGTGCTTTATGAAAATTCTCACATAGATGCAACACGGATCAAATTCTATTTTCTCACCCAGGCCTATCGTCTATCAGAAATTCAAACGAGGGAATTATAAAAGATGAGTTCTTTCGATAATATAGCTTTACTCAGAATATTTACGACATTTTTTAAGTATAAACCTATTAACTCTACTTTAACCTTTAAATAGGTAATAACAAGAACGAATGGGGTTAGTAACTAAATCTGTGCTTTGAAATAAAGAGAAGGAACAAAGCTCCCGCAAGGAGGAACTGGTTATGTTATTGTGTATCACAGATGAGAAGTTGAAAGGTTTTGTTTGTGAAAAATGCTTGCTTTCATCGTGATGATTATATACACTGATATACTAAACCATTACAGATTTCAACGTGGGATAGAAATATTTACTTACAATTTTGAGATAAAAAACATATATCATAAAATTTACATAATCCTAACAAAATGAGATAATTTTAGTCAGAAGAGAAAAGTACGAGGAATGAGGATAGGCCATGCAAGGCTACACATGCAATATACTTTATTATGATTAAGTAATAAATGAGGTGAAAATAAATACTACTATTAATTAGACCATGGTTAGATGATATATAAAAAGAGTACGTAGAATGCCATACCTTAGTTGAGGCTTATTTGCTCTCGTATTCTTTACCAATGTGTATAAGAAAATTTACTCTGTTATGGTAAGAGAAAATTTCCTAAAATAGAGTCCCAAGTCATTAAATACTCACTCCTACTATAACTCAAAAATCTTGGTGCAGGGTTAGAAGGGCACATTACAATTGTTAGAATCATAGTAGAAAAAGAATTCTAACACAGTAATGTATTCGGGAGTTTGCACTGAACAAATTAAATAGGATCTTTTCTTGGTCTTCCTGAGAACATATACCACAAAATAGTTGCTTCCAACGGCGTCCCAAAATAAGCACCACTAGAAACAAAAAGAGATGGACGAGGCAAACAAGTCTTATGGGGAAATAGAAGAGATTTTAGATGACGTTGAGCAGAGGTTTAAGCAGATCAAGAAATTTGATTTACTTCCTCATCCTCCATATGATCACCACTTTTTAACGTACGACAGAAATTTCAAAAACTTGGTATCGGGAAGTGCCTTTCACCAAAGGATCGAAAACGAATGGCTTTCGTTGGAGAACAAACTTCCAAGTTCCATTCTTGTTAGGTCTTATGAGAAGAGGATTGATCTTATGAGAGCAGTCATAGTTGGTCCACTCGATACGCCTTATGCCCATGGCCTCTTCTTCTTCGACATACTTTTTCCAAGAAATTATCCGAATTGTCCTCCAAGGATTCACTACCATTCTTATGACCTTGACTTGAATCCATACTTGGATCCGAAGGGCAAGGTTTCCCTTAGCCTGTTGGAATATGGGATCTCGGTGACTAACTGGTACTGCGGTGTACAAGACAAGTGGAATCCACACAAGTCTGACATATTGCAAGTGCTCACAGCTATTCAAACTTCAGTCTTGAGTGCCAACCTCTTAAATCCTGGTGGTGGAGAAGGTTTGCGTGAATCCAACAACTTAGAATGGCTTAAATACAAGAAAGCCTTAACCTTGACAAGCAAGGGCATGCTTTATATGCTGAGGGAATCCCCTTTGAACTTCCAAGATTTTGTAGAGGGATACTTTAGGACAAGGGCTCACTACATTCTGTTGAACTACAGGAAGCAAATGGATGGTAGTGACGTCATGCTTAAACTTTTCCTTGAACTCTACAGGGCATTTGAACAGAATGGAACCTATTGCAAGCATCATCTTCCGGGAGTACTTCAAGGAGTGCACCTGCCTGAAGAGGAAAAGACCAACAAGAAAGGGTTTGTTAAGAATGTTGCAACCATACTGAATGACTTCCTAAGCTGAAGAATGCCCGAGAAAAAGATAGTAGTAGTAGTTAATTTATGCAGATGAGCAGAATTTAACTTGATCATTCTTTTATTTTTCAATGCTAGTGAATTTACCTTATTGAATCATCAATTTCTTCCCAACCATTTATTGTTGAGCTCCCGAGTGCGGAGCAGTAAGCATATTCCCCTGCTGCACATATTTCTGACTGTAACTGATCAACTCTCCCTTTAACACAATTTCATACAGCAGATGGAAATTCATTATCATAACAGTGCCTTCATCTCCTCTTATTGTGATCAATTAGTGTCCATTAGGAACAAAGGATCAATGACATGCTAAACATATAGTGCCAACGGAGATAAAGGAGTTAAGTAGAATGATTAATATTTTTCCTTCGATGACTCAAGCACACAATCTCAGCTTCAAACTATCTAAAGAGTTGCCCTCTTTTCTTTCAGTTTTTCCCCTTACCTTTCATTTCAGACCATGAGCTAGAGTCACAGAGCAAATCAAAGAACCCTACTAACTTGCCAAGTTTTGCAAATGAAACCTGAGTAGAATATTTCCGGAACTGACAAAAGAAACACAAAAAAAGCACCAAGTACTCCAAAAATAAAACTGAAATATGTTTGACATGAAAAAGGAATCTGTTAGCCTCCAACTTTGACATCATTATAACATATCCCACTTAATATTTCCATTTCACAGCTCAATAGTGAATTACTTCTTTTTCTCCCTCTCTGTTCACTGCTTATTATCAAAGTATGATAGCTTAAATGACTAGCATTCATCTTTTTACATAATGCTTTACGCTGTTTCCTTTCTGTAGCTTACAAAACAAACAAACCCACACTTCAGGTAACCCATGCATCCTGTTGTTACTTTATTGTGCAAAAACAGAACAAAAAGAAGATCCGGCAGAACCTCAGAGAAGTTCATCCATTTAACTCTAATAGTAATGAGATGTACCCAAGAACAGCAGAAACTGATTCAAAATCCAAGTCACTGTTTAAGCTCATGTCTCAAAAACAGCTAGATACCAAAAATTCAAGCATATAAAACGCCTTCCTGCTTATGAAAACTCTTTAATTATACCTGCCTAGAGAATCAGACCTACAGCAATTATATGGATCTTCCATTTGTCTTAACGTACGCATGTTGAACCATACGCACCAAACCAGGACTTGCACACTCAGAGGGAATATGCACTTGTTAAAGGCTCACATAAGAGTTATTCTATGATTCAATTGCTTCTGAAGCGTAATGAGCTGTAAAGTAATTCTAGAATCAATTCATAAGACTGAGTATACCTAAGAGCTAATGCTGTGATATGAGATAGGAAGATACCGGCCATGCTGCATATTAAAACCAGATGCAGTTATGGAAACAACTATCCGTACTGTATTGTTCACAATTTAGGCAGTGATAAGATGTATAATTACAAAAAGAAGAGACAGAAGTTAGTGAAACATAGACTGAGAATCTGAGGTTTAGCTCATAACTTCTTTGTTGGATTTTACTCTACAAAATTGCTAACACCAAAATCACCCATTTTCTCTATAGAAGTATGTCCAAGTTGCTTAAGTAAGCTGAATGTGTCAATGCTCAATATGCTATTATTTCATTTAAGCTGAAGAAAAAAATTTAAGAAATCGTGAATTTGAAGTTGTAAGTGCCACAGCCACCCCATGACATGTTTAACGTGATTGTTTTACTTGACTGTGAATCTTTTTAGCAATATATTCTCATTGCGAGTTATGAGCGTTTCACTTTGAGCTATCTTCAAATCATTAACATCAAATTTTCCATAATTATAGAGCAGTCAGTTAGTTAAGCCCCAAGTAGATAAGAGGGAAGGAAATCTTAATAGGGAAAAGCATGAACCATTAACTATTCCCAAACAGCACTTCACTCACTAATCTAAAGATGAACTAAACCATTAATGAATGGACTTTTTGTAACTAATAAAAAAGTTGTTATTGTAACTGTTCTATGATTTTCTAAACCTGTTTAGGCAATTTTGAACTCTTTGTGCCGAAGGGGAGAAGTGAAAAGTCAGTATTCCTTTTTAAGTCGGGATTTGTAAGAAACTATATTCGCCAGTTTCTTCTTATTTCAGTTGGAAATCACTGAATCTCATATATTAATGTATAATAATTGTGACCATCTTCAGTTTATCTGCCAAATTCTTCTCTATTGAGTATTGTTTAATGGAATTACCTTGGTGGACAATGAAGTGAAGCAAGTGAAAACAATCAATCAAAATTAGTTGAGTCAAGTATATGAATCTTTTGCATCCATTCCGTTCTACTTAGATCCACAAGAAAATACAAAAGAAAAATCAATAAGCACATACTCATTCACTACTACTTAGAAGCTACAAAATAAAGCAAGCAAACAAACAAACAAATGAAAATATCATGGATTCTAATCTAAAAAAGCATCTGCAGATTTGAAGCATTCATTATATAAAAAAGACTTACCCCTACATGCTTCGGGTCAATAGTACATAGCATTCCCCTGTGCATTTCTGCAAACAGGCTTTCTCCCTACAAACTGGAAAGAATCAATCAAATCAGGCAAAATATATGCAATAACCCAGATGGGAAAACAAGTCAAACCACACCTGCAATCGTAAAGTTGGAAAAGACATATTGCGAGTTTGTGCGTGAATCTAACAAACACAACCCATGAGATAAAAATAGATTTAATGATGAAAAAAGGGTTGTCAGATTCACGCACAAACGTGAAATATGCCTCTTTCAGATTCAGAGGGTAAATCCCTAATAAAGATGAGTTAAGGGGACGAAGAGTTCTCTTCTGTTCCTTTTATAGGTAAATCTGAGCGCCTCACCACAAACAACTACTCTTTTCTCACCGGATAACTGTTACCTGTTTTCCGTAAATATAGAGGATAAGTTTATTAAAAATCTGAGGGTCTTTAATTTAATTAAGTTACCATGTCACACTAATTTATGGTAAGTTGTTGATATGATAGATCTAAACTCAATTTAGTATCAATGTATACTTAATAATAATTAATCAAGTGAGAAGCTTTATTCCTGTTGTTTTAATGCTGTTTCCATATTAATCTTTTGACTAGGTACCACTTTTATTTTCTAGACATTATGAATTTTACCACTTGGATACCCCATAGATGTATGGTACAAGAAAAATTTGACAAGAGTTTCTATTTAGGTAACAACGGGTATGACATTGTTGAGATTCAAATTCTTAACATTGCATATAAGTATATTTTGACCACTAGGAAAAAGGGTTCAGATATACTTCATACACTTGAAGTTATTTATATTTTTTATGTTTTTAATTGAAATTCTATTTGAACTAAAGAAAGTATAGTGAAGTATAATTTTAAACCTTAGTCAAACATAAGGGGTAAATCTAGACTTTAGCAAAAGATAAATTATACGAGACAATTAACAAACAACAAAGTATGAAGTATGAACAAATTAAACCCAAATTAAAAGATAACGAGGATATAATTAAAAATATTTTGATTCATTTACGAGTAAATCTAGCCATTTTCTCTAATTGTTGTTCCTTTTATAAGCAGTTGACAATTTCAATTGGTATAAAGTATGTCTTTCACAAATTCCCGCAAAAACAAAATATTGTCAACATGTGTTTTAATTCCAGCACAAACATGTCATTTGAATAGTTAAATATCTTCAAAGTGTAGAAATTAAAAATTAAACAAAATTGTATACATATGTGACCAGGTAATCTTGAGACTTCTTCTCACATACAATAATATAAGAAGATTACTATAATTAATGGTAACCACCCCCCCCNAAATATTTCCAGCTATGCACAAGCTGGTTAATATATTTTAATTTTTTACATTGTTCCTAAAAGTGGTATTATAAGTTGGAATTTGAGGGTTTTGGTTAATTAAGTTTGAAGATTTTTTTTTATTTTTGGGATACATTGGAAAGACAAATAGATTATTGAAAAAATTTCATAAGCTATGTGACTTGAATCGGCTAGGAGAAAAGAATTTCATTTCCTTGAGAGTAGTTTTTGGAAATTTTCCGTATTGGAAATTTTGTTTGCCAGAAATTCTGGTTCTGGGCTTGAAGAAATTCTTGTAGCTTATATATGAAAATAATTAAGAATGCCCTCAAAGAGATAGTATTCTAATATGTGAATATTTGAGAAACCAAACTTTAGAAATTACTTGTCAAAACTTAAGACAAAATTATGTAAAGGTATAGTTAATCATAGTTAGTTAGTTTAGCTAACTTAACTACAGTTAGTGATGTACATCAGACATGTGATAGGTGGTTAGATTAATTAGTTAAATACATTGTAGTGTCTTCTCCTTCATTACGCTTAATAGAAGAACGAAGCATTTTTCTTCTCTCTAAAATTTTCTCTCGATCTTTCAATGTCTGATTTCTCTACTTGAATTGCATGCTATTGACAAATTCTTCATGGTATCAGAGCTGCTAATCGAATGATTCTAAGAAATTTATTCGTGAAATTGAAAGAAGTTCGAGAGAATCTACTCAATTTTTAGGAACTTTGAACCCTAATTCTGCAATTGTCAATGGTGATTCCTGAAAATTCTACTGTCAACGAGAATATTGGAGCTGATGTGAGCACCGGAGCAGTACCTAACTCAATTATCTTAGATCACAATCATCCTCTTTACCTACATCCATCTGATGGTCCAGGATCCATGTCGGTGGGACTCATCTTGACAGGTATGGAAAACTACTCTCTTTGGAGCCGTGCGATGAAGGTTGCACTGCTAGGTAAGAACAAGCTGTATTTAGTTGATGGATTGACATCGAAGGAAGACTTTGGTCCGAGTTTGGGAAGTCAGTGGGATCGGTGTAATGCCATTGTGACTTCATGACTTATGAGCAATGTGAGTAGAGATTTAGTAACAGGAGTATTGTTTTCTTCAAATGCACAGAAGGTATGGGCTGCGTTCAAGGAGCAATTTGACAAAGTAAACGCATCAAGGTTATACTACTTGCACAAAGAAA